CCAGTTGGCTCTCCAGTGGTAAGCTTCCTACGTCTGATTTCTTCCTGTGGCTGCGCCGAGGCTAACGTGCTATAGAATGCAAACATCTCCTGTCACGCATGCTGGTGACAGACCCGAAGTTGCGGGCCACGATGCAAGAGGTCATGTGCCATCCTTGGATGACCAAGGGCTACAACGGACCACCTGAGAACTTCCTCCCACATCGTGAACCCCTGGCTCTGCCGCTGGACAATGACGTTATTGCCGCCATGACAGGATTCAACTTTGGCCCGCCTGAGGCCATCCGTGCGCAGTTGATGCGCACAATCGAGTCGGAGGAGTACCAACGCGCTGTCCGGCTGTATCAGAAGGAGAAGGACCTGCCTCAGCCTGCACGGGATGCCGAGAAGAAGCGCGGCTTTGGGTTCGACTTCTACAAGCGCCGCAACTCCGGTAATAGCAGAGATACCCTGACTGCCCCTAGCACCGAAGGATTGCCCATGGGAACCGACCCACTCAACGCCTTCAGCCCCTTGATCTCGATCTACTATCTTGTCCGAGAAAAGCAGGAACGAGACAGGTTAGAGCAACAAGGAGCGGCAGCGGCGCCTGCGCCATCAACGCCAGCAGCGCCTGCACCACCAATCATACAGAAGGAGGCACCGGTCGAGCTCCCACCACCCCCGGCAGCACACACCAATGCGTCAACATATGAGATGCCAGGGGAGAAGTCAGGCGGTAGGACAAGGCCCAGGGCAAGGACCCATGGCGAGGATGATGCGCCGCAGGAGCAGACCAAAAGCAATGCGTTGCTTTCCCCTAGTGCAGCAGCCCACCCACAAGAATCTCATCACTCCGACAGCAACGCAAAGAAAGAAGGCGCAGCAGCAGGTTTCTTGCGCCGTCTTAGTACCCGGCGTAGAAAGGAGCCGGAGCGGTTAGACAAGGACCGTTCGCGGCCGCCTGCCGTTCATGTCCCGCCTGCCCCTGCCACACCAAGCGAGACGTCCGGAAGCCTTAGGAAGAGCTTCAGTATCAGACGGACACGCCGGGACCCCGAGGAGCCACCAGTACCCCGCATCAGGTCCGGGTCAAGCCAACCCCAGCACAGCGATCTCTTGGCCCCGCCCCAGTCAGCTGGCTCTCATGCCCAGTCATTTAGAAAGGGACTCGGTCGGTCTACCAGCGTGAACTCGGCAGAGTTTCACCGGCGACGCAACGACGCAGCCATCTTGTCGGGTTTAGACCAGTCTAGCCCAGCAGTACCAGAGAAGCCAGCTGAAGCCAGGACCGCTCTGCAGAACAACAGGTCAATGTCTATGCGTGCCAAGAGCCTGGGTCATGCTCGCAGGGAGAGCATTCAGGCTAGAAGAGCTAGACGGGAGGCCGAGTCACGCGGGGAACCCGGCCCGGTGCCCGAGGAGACGGACGCCGAGCTCGGCGAACATAGCGGTGTCTCTACCGACAAGCTGGACGCTCGTGAAGACCCCGATCTTGCGAAGCCCGTGTTCTTGAAGGGCCTTTTCAGCGTATCCACAACAAGCACCAAGCCTGTTCCCGAGATTCGAGCGGATCTCAAACGCGTGCTCAGGCAGCTTGGCGTTGATTACACTGAAATTCGGGGAGGCTTCAGTTGTCGGCATTCGCCCAGTATCGACATGAAGAAGGGTGACATCAACCGGTCAGGTAGCCCATCCGGCTTTGGGCCTCAGTCCCCCGGCCGCGAACGGAGGCGGTTCAGTTTTGGTGGTAACCGCGATCGTGAAAGTAGGGAGAACGAGCGATTGTCCACTACACCGAGGACGCCGGGCAAGGGGCGCGATCGTTACGATGACGGCAGCTATTCTCACTCGGATCTGTCTGAGGACAGCGTCACCGGTGAGAACGGCGGAGAGTCCAGTTCCAGGAGAGTGGCGGCAGGCGAGACAAGGACCAATGTCCGGGATGATGGCGTGGATGGCAGCATGGTCCTCGACTTTGAAATTTTTGTTGTCAAAGTGCCGGTGATCAGTCTGCATGGCATCCAGTTCAAGAGGGTCAGCGGAAACACATGGCAGTACAAGAATATGGCTGATCAGATTCTGCGAGAGTTGAGACTGTAGGGCGACCTTGGCAGAAGTGAGGGGGGTGGCATGCTTGGTTAAGGGTGAGGAAAGGGCAAGTTTGGAGAGGCGGATGTGACAGGTGGACCCTGGCTGTCGTGGCTTTTGGTTTTGTTTCTTCTTATCACTGCATGGGCAAGCGAGGCTCTCCTCTTCCTCCTTCTGTGTTTTTTATCACTCTCTGTACATACGATCACTGCCTTTTGTTGCCTTATGTCTAGGCCGTTCCTTCTTTACGATGGGAAAAGTATACGTGTGGGACAGGGCCATTTCCAGAGCATAGCGAGATTGGGAATTCAAGTCTAATTTGGCGTTTGAACTTATAGCTGATGACTTATATCCTTTCAACTCCCAAAGAAGGTGTATTGACCAAAGGCTCGAACGTGCAATTAGTATAAGTGCTTGAATCCAGAGTGTCCGAGTGGGGAAGCCTACCCTGACCCATGGGCCAATGATGCTCTGGGGTAATGACGTACCTCGCCTATCTTGAGACCCTTGGCTTTGATGATCGAGGTGCGGTTGCTGTTTCAGGAACCCCCGACCCCATGAGAGACACGGTTGCCGAAAAGCGCAAGCAAGTTGAGTGACCAGGACGCAAACCCCATATCACCATGTCATGATTTAGGTATCTGTCACCTAGAGGTAATTTATGCTGAACTGCAGCCTGAATTACTCACCCCCGACGACGATCCGTACATATCTGTGACCAACCTTTACAATGTTGCTCCACTACCTCGAATTCCTAGCACTTGCGGTGGTGCACGTTGGCTGTGTCCTTTCCCAGACCACGACGGTACCAGCTGCTGGCTCGTGTCCCACGGTACTGACCCCCAGCTATTCGGCACCTGTGGTTGGAACCGGGTACACCTACCAGCTCATCGTTACCGGTCTGACCAAGCCTCGTGGACTGATCTTTGACAACCACGGGGGCCTTCTGGTCATCCAGTCTGGAATCGGACTGACACATATTTCATTCAATGACAATGGGGGGACATGTCTTTCTCCGAGCCTCACCACGTTGCTGGTCAACGACACCTCTGTAGGTACACTTGGGAAGGCTATACAAAACTGCACTAACCACATGGACCACATGGCAGCTGAACCACGGCATTGAGCTATCAAGCGATGGCCGCACCCTTTATGCCTCTTCATCAGACCAGGTCTATTCCTGGTCCTACGACCCTGCCGCCGTCACCGTATCCTCCAGAACAACCTTAATCACCAACATGTCCAACACAGATCACACCACCCGCACTCTGCTGCTCTCTCGCAAGAATCCAGGCCTCCTTCTTGTCTCTCGCGGCAGCTCGGAGAACATGGATCCTGTCGCAGCAGATGTGACCTCGGGCCACTCTCAGATCCGAGCCTTCAACATCTCCTCTGTCTCAGCACCCTACAACTACCCCGTGGACGGCATAATGCTCGGTTGGGGTCTCCGTAACAGCGTCGGCATAGCAGAGGAGCCACTCACCGGCGGCATCTACAGCGTCGAAAACAGCGCCGATCAGCTCAAACGCCAGGGGACCGACATCCACGAGGAGAATCCCGGCGAGGAGATGAACTTCCACGGCTTCCTGAACGACACGGCCCACAACCAGTACCTGGGCAGAAACTATGGCTATCCAGGCTGTTTCGCGGTATGGGACACTAACCTCCCCAACAAAGGCAACCTGAAAACAGGCGACCAGTTCGTCCTCGACCCCAGCGCCACTCTCAACGACACCACCTGCGCCCAGGACCGCATCCCTCCCCGCCTCACCTTCGAAGCCCACATGGCACCCCTAGACATCAAATTCACCCCCGATGGCAGCCGAGCCTACATCACCTTCCACGGCAGCTGGAACCGTGACGAACCAGCGGGATACAAGCTCTCCATCGTCGACTTCTCCGACGGCTCCCCCGTGTCCCCTTCCGACGCCACAGACGCCGCCAGGGACGTCCTCAGCAACCCGGACAACTCGGTCTGTCCGGGGAAATGCTTTCGCCCGGCGGGTGTGGCGCTGGATTCCGGTGGGAGGGTGTTCATGACGAGCGATGCCACCGGGGAGATCTATGTGCTGGCGCAGGGCGAGATGACCATCAGCGGCGGGGGCGGTGGAGGCAGCTCGATGACGACGACGGGTGCGCTCGTCACCAATACTGCTGGTGGTGGCGGAACTCCGAATGTCGCGGCGGGCATGGTAGCGGGTAGGGGTGGTGATAGGAGGGTGCTTGGTGTGCTTGTCATGGTTATGCTGGGGGCTGTTGGAGGGGCTATGCTCGTTGTTGGATGATTGGTACTCCAGATCTGGGCCTGTTCGCAGGATAGGGTCGTGGGTTATGATGGAATGACTTTTATGATAGGTATCGATGGCTCTTAGGTCAATGATGACTGGTACTTACCTATGGCGGAACGGGAAATGGGGCAGCATTATAGATGCGAAATATTATTGTTAGAACGCCCCAATGGCACGTTTTATCTCCTCCACCACATGCATTATCAGGACCATAAATTATGCCGGTGCGCAGACAGAAATGAGTCGTAACGCAGATCTGTTCAGTTTGCACGATCCCATTCCACTGCCGGTACATTGCTCAAAGCTGCCATCTGCTCAAATACAAAGTCTACCAAAAGCTCATTCCAGACCACTAGGACACTTCGTAGCATGGCAGGTATGAGTAGTGTCTTCGGGAGTTGAAGTTCTTCATGACCTTGAATATGATCCATGCCAACCTAAGATATCATCAGAGTCTAGCAAGGCATAGCTAAGACTTTTAGCCACAGGGCTATGCATGTTTACTCCGACAAGTTTTTGCGTTAGGTAGACAGGGAGGGGCGAAGGAAAGATCAGAACGTAGCCAAGCCACGCCCAAAAATTCGAGACCTGAAATCTGGTGATAGCTTCAACGGAAGGACGACAGACGACCAACCAAGAAAAGTGGGACCAGTGAGTTTCGAACTCACGACCTCAGGATGACCCAGATCTGGTTGATCTGATCACATCTAGACGATATGAGACCTGCGCGCTAACCAACTGCGCCATGGTCCCTTGTGGATGGTGGCAGCGGCGTCTGAGTCGTGCAAGACAGGGATTGTTTGTCATGGTTTAGCAGGATGCTGCAGTTGTTCATTGCTCCCTACTGACATAAGGCTTGAAACAATAGTATCTGCTGGATATAATAAACCCGAGAATGACACGCTAACTCCAGGAGAGACCCAGTTTCCTGCCCTTCCGTTTCCCTTTTGTGACCCTTATCCCGTACGATAATATCTGTTCATACCGCCAACTGATTGTGGTTGCGGTAGTAACAGGGAAGAAACTGCGTGCAGCACGTTAGCGGAGAATTCAGAACTTCGGTGACATGAGAGGGCTGAATCACGTTAATAACAATCATCATCGGGATATCAAAGGTATCCCGCTTGATGCTCCACGTATATGTGCACTCGAGCTTGCCATCTCTCTCCAGCTTGGAGATGCCGTGCTCGCCGTCTATCCTTGCCACACGATTACTGAGTATGCTCTGTTTGGGCGGGTGTTGTGGCCCGTTCTTCTGCGGGCTGTCGTCCATGCTGCCTGTTGCTGACCCTTCTGCTGCCGCAGCCTGTTCCAGCGTCCTGTACTTGAGCAGTCTGCATTTCCTCGTGACCGTGCCTCTGCTGTTGTTGAAAGCTAGTTGTGCGTAGTCTTTGTAGAACTCCCTGACGCTATCTTCGTCCATGAGCTCAGCAAGGAAGACGGGCTGTTTTCCATTGTCGGCGGGTGGCTTTGAGGTCTCGTTCAGTGTTCTAACACGTGGAGTCGTTTGCCCTGCCCGTCCGGTGCTGCCGCTTGCCGAGCCGGTTGTTGATATGCCCGTGTTGACGTTGTTGTTCGGTTCCACGCCCAGAAGGACTTCTTTCGTCCAACCAGTGAGCGCCGTGAACTCCTTGTTCACGCCAGCCACCTCGCCAGTTCGACGACAGATGAGGGCCGGACTGGGGCAGTTGAACATGAAGTCCTCGTACTCGAAGAGGGCTCGCTGAAAGCTCTTCTCCATGAACACAAGGTCCTGGCTGTTTAGAGTCCGTGTACATGATATGAAGGATGGGCGGATGCTGGCGAGTGACTGGGCAATGGCCGCTGAGTTGGCAGGGGCAAACCGAGTCTGCAGGAGCGCAATAAGGTTATGAAAACTCTTGACATATTGATAGGGTTCCTTTACGGACTCATAAATATAAGACGGATCTCGCTGCTTCTTGCCCATGGTCAACTGGTGACCACCCAAGATCCTCGCCGCTACTGATTGAGACGGTTTGCTCATGGCACGAGCGGCGCTCGCATGGCCTGGGTGCTGCTGCTGTGATGTGGCATTGGGACCACCCGTGGCATACGTGGTTGTTGTTGGCGAGCCCTCAAAGCCGTGGTTCGTTGCTTGCGGACTGTTATTTTCTGTGCTAGGGCTCTGTAAGCTTCGTGGACCAGCAGCAATGGCATAGGCATGCGGAAGCCCATGCTGAAGGTTACCCTGCGAGTAGACCCCGTTGACACTGTGGTCTAGCCCAAGGAATTCCCCCATCAAGGAGGGATCGTATAGCTTCTCGTATGGGCTTACGCCATTGCCGAACACACCGGCTTGGTTGTTGTAGTTGCCGTCGCCACCTCCTCCCTGGGTTGATATTGACTGATCACGTGGAGGAGTCCCCGCGGCCCCTGCGGACATCTGGTTGAGGATGTTGAACTCGACAGCCGAGTATTGACTCCCAAAGGTGAGCCCTTCAAGGTCGAAGTTGAATATGGCGGGGTTGCTGGGATCGAAGAATGCCGTAGTGAAGTTCGGTATGTCCGCCGAGACCTGAGACACTGCCATACCTCCCATCTGTGAGTTGTTAGGTCCGTGAAACGTCGGGGAGACCGGCGAGTGTTGACTGGCAAACGACGATTCTTGTTGTAGGGCCGCCATCGGTGGTTGAGGTGGTGAAAACACGGGAAACTGGGGCGCGTTGCCTTGGGCGGTATAAAAGGTGCCGACAGTAGGGGATGCCTCCGATCCATTGCTAGACGGATGTCGGTGCCCATTGGGTCGAGTGGACAATGTCTGGGAGTGCCCATGTACGCTAGAATTATTGTACCCTGGACCTAGTACTGGCCCTAAAGCCTCGGGAGGAGCATCATGCAGGTATTTTGCCTTCTTCCTGACACCGTCTTGGCACTGGTCTGCCAGACCACGCTTAATACATCTTTGGCATGGTCGCTCATCACCTGGTGGCGTTACTGGTCAGTATGTGAAATAGAGAGGCGATGTCCTGGAATACCAAGTGCCATTCGGGATAGAAAGTTGTCGAGTGCAGGTCGACGGTCACATTTTGCTTACGACTGGAGAAGTTGCGAAGAGAGACGGACATACCACAAGTCAAATGAGCCCGTTGACAGGCAAAACATGCTCTTCTGGCCTTCTTCCTCCTTGGCCGCATGGGGTCTTTTGAATCGTACTTCTTCTTGGGCTCGCCATCAACCTCGGCGCCATCCGAAGGTGTCTTGCTGGTATTGTTCTTGTTGTTGCTGCTATTGTCCGCCATTCTCTCGTTGTCGTCTTCTTCTGCCTTGTGATGAGGCTCTTGGTCGTCGTACTCGGCATCACTCTCAGACATAAAACCTGAAACCTCTGCTTGGTTAGGCTCGACATCTGACTGCATGATGTCTTACTGACTCCTTTATAGGATTGGAGACGCCACCCCTGTTTCTGGTTCCTGCCCTTTCACGTTAGAATTCAGCAGGGCAGGGCCTGGGAGGACGGCACGGCAATGCAAGGCTAACACCATACGGCACCAGTACTTAGCAAGACTCCTTCTTTGCCAACCCAAAGGCCTGTCCTTCCTTGATAGAGCAACAGCGGCACTGCTGCTGGGGCGGCCAGGGGTGGTAGTGTGGAGGCGTGTGCGACAGTCGCTTCCTGCTGTGAACACATGCACCTGCAATGACGGCTGGGTGACACAGCACAAGGGAGCCGGGACCGGACACTTAAACGACGTGCCAGAGCAAAAATAGTCCACAACCTGGAATACAGGCACCGTATGATGTCGTAGAAAGATATACTAAGCTTTTAGAAGTCTTGAACGCAGCCGGACAGTGACGGTCTCAATCGTTCCCACGACGCCGCCACGAAGTTGTCGATGCACAAAGAAAGCTTGGTCTTCACCTCGGTTTGTGCATCCGCAACTCTTAGCTGAGGTTGGCTCCTGTTAAAAGATCTGGCAGTGTCCTTAGTAGTCCGTCCGAGAAGCTCAGCAGATCAACCGCTCGGGTTTCTTGAAACTAGTAGTCCTCCAGCTGGTGTGGCTCGCTAGGTACCACAGACACAGCGTCTCTACTCGTATTTTCAGCAATGAGATCGATTAGAGCCCTCCAATGGGCTCGGTCCCGTCTGAGAGATGCGTCAGTCTGGTGTGACGCGCTCCACAAAATGATGTGGCCCAATCTCAAGAGGCTGTGGCAAGCTCTGTCGATATTGGGTCGCAACGCACGGTGTGTGAAGCAGATGTGAAGGCTGTGATTTCAGATAGCCATGTGGCGGCGCGGGATGTTTTTTTTGGCGCAGGCAATGGTATGCGAGTGGTGGATATATTGGCTTCTAGCCCCCGTACATGTACCTCTTATATTTTGAGACAGCCGTGATAGGATGGCAAGGACCTGTAGCTACCCGTCAGGCCTAGTTTATGCTTGTTGTGCATCTGGCGCCGGCACGGCACAAGATATCCACTCTGTCGTCGAAGATCTGTACAGACTTTGAGAGGTTTTTGATGTCTGTAGGTTGCGCTTCGAAGTACGATGTATTGTCTCAATGGCTGCCATCCGACGGACCTTCAATCCAATCGTCTTCTTTCTTGGTCCTTTCCTTATCCCGGCCCTTCTGTATTTCGGTCGAGTCTGTACCGGCTATCCCTCGCCCGTCTCTCTATGCTGAGCCTGTCGCTGGTCGGTTCGTTCTTGGGTTGTTAGCCCGGTATGGCACGGAAGCAGGGTACCAAGGAGCAAAAGCAGTGGTTGTTGTTGTTGTTGTTGCTTTGGTGTTGTTGTTATTGTTGCCGTCGCGCCACATGAAGTTCGTATGCAGGCTGGATCAAGGGTCGGGTAAGCGTCGAGACAAAGACCATACAGCGGTGGCTGAAATTCTGCAGTGGCACGACCATCGAATTGTTGATCGTCGAGTTCTGATGTCCTGATGTCTGAGACGATTGCGCCGTGCAAAGTAGCTGAACTTTGCTGTGAGCAACTCCAATTGCACTTGCGGGGATGCTACTTGCCATCTGGAGTCGGAGAGTACGTACTATCGACAGAATCCCCCGCTTTTCCACTCGTCGGAAACTGCCAATCTGTGGGTGCATGGGTGAAGCGGTGCATTACAGGCCCCACTCATAGCCGGGACTGCTTTGTTGCATATAGCATGATATAGGTGCCTCTACCGTTATCCGTACAGCGCTTCAGCTCTCCGTTATGTATTGGTACCTCACTATCTGCGGCTGTCTTCGGTACCGAGGTACTTCATTCTCCCAACGACGACTGAACCTATCAGTACTGCTGATTTATTGTCTAAGTCGTGATTCGTGCAGAATCCTGTGTCTGAAATACATCGTAGTGCAACAACCTGAACGGGGTTCGGTATCACGGAATAGAGACCTCCAATAACGTTGCCTGTAGCTGCTTGTTTCAATGACAGACTTCAGCAGAAGTCCCTTCGTTCAAGCGCAAGCTGCAATTTGGATGGATGCGCTTTTCGGCGTTCATGTTGTGGTTGCAGCTTCCTGGACCTAAATAAGCCCAGCCTGTTGTGATTCGGTCGTGAAACCAACACTCCAGGTTTGATGATTTGACGTCTTGTAGTCAGCAGGAGTCCATATCCAAGCGCACGTGTTCGTCTCAGCTACCCCAGCACCAGTTGAGGTGTGGTATCTAGATATCCCTTCTCCGACAAGCCAATACCCCCTGCCCCTTTTCCGCAGCTCGACCTCAGAGAGAGATCCCACTCTTCCCCAAGGCAAGCCTTCATGGTATCGTGCCGCCCCCCTTTGACG